ATAGGTTTCCTCTAGTTGATACTTTTACGGTAATTAATGATGCTAGCAGTCGTTAAATTCAACAAATGTTTTTAATTCATTTATTTAACACTTAACTTTAATATTAATAAATAAAAAATAAAAATGCATTAAAAATAACAATTTTACATTTAACAAGTAAGAAAGCTCTAGTCGAGACTGCTCGACTACGAGATCCCCTGAACCCTTGGAGCAATAGATATTTCAATACTTTTTCGCGACTTTCAGCTTACACAAGAAACACGCACACACACACACACACACGTACGTACGCACACACAGGTAAACATACACACACACGCATAAAGACACACATACACACACACACGCATACAGACACAAACGCATACACACACACACACACACACATACAAGCAACCACGCATAAACACGCATGGGCTGCAGTGTGCGCTTACTATGAGAACTTAATTGTTTAATAACTTTTTTTATGGACGTACGATCTTCATGAAACTTTTAGATTATGATTATAACATGAATATGCATGTAATTGCCAAAGCACAAGTCTCTAGTATTTGAAATACGCTTTTTACAAAAGTGAGGGTGAGGGGGTGAATTTAGAGGTGGGGGGTAAATTTTAATAAAAACCGAAATTGTATAAATTGCATATAAGCATACATTAAAAATTTGGAGACTCTAGCAATAAAGGTGTAGAAGATATAATTTTATAACTGGGTTTCGATAAGGTTTTTTATCGATAAAAAAGATCGGGATGAGTTATCGATTTTTAATGATAAACTTGATATGCGCGCTGTAATTACGGACATTTTAAAAAAATTTGAAGTCTCTAGCTCTTATATCTTCTGAAATCGACGCGTTCATACATACGGACAGACGGACAGACGGACAGACGGACAGACAGACGGACAGGGCCAAATCAACTCAGCTCGTCACCCTGATCAAGAATATATATACTTTGTGGGGTCTGCCACGCCTCCTTCTCCCTGTTACATACATTTCAACAAAACCATTATACCCTGATTTCCCATTGAAAATGGGTTCAGGGTATAAAAATGTTCCTAAAAGTCGTCTTCTACATCAATTTCTATTGTAAGCGGATTTTCAGAGTCAGAATCTGAATCACTATTGTTAGCATCAACAAGTAAGAAAGCTCTAGTCGAGACTACTCGACTACGAGATCCCCTGAACCCTTGGAGTAATAGCTATTTCAATAATTTTTCGCGTCTTTCAGCTTACACAAGAAACACGCACACACACACACACACACGCACGCACGCACGCACGCACGCACACACAGGCATACATACACACATACATACAAACATACACACACACACACATACACAAACAATTACATACATATACACACACAAGCATAAACACGCATGGGCGGCAGTGAGCGCTTACTATGAGAACTTAATTGCTTAATAACTTTTTTGTGGACGTACGATCTTCATGAAACTTTCAGATTATGATTATGACATGGATATGCATGTAATTGCCAAAGCACAAGTCTCTAGTATTTGAAATACGCTTTTTACAAAAGTGTGGGTGAGGGGGTGAATTTAAGGGTGAGGGTAAATTTTAACAAAAACCGAAATTGTATAAATTGCATATAAGCATACATTAAAAATTTGGAGACTCTAGCAATAAAGGTGTAGAAGATATAATTTTATAACTGGTTTTCGATAAGGTTTTTTATCGATAAAAAAGATCGGGATGAGTTATCGATTTTTAATGATAAACTTGATATGCGCGCTGTAATTACGAACATTTTAAAAAAATTTGAAGTCTCTAGCTCTTATATCTTCTGAAATCGACGCGTTCATACATACGGACAGACGGACAGACGGACAGACGGACAGACGGACAGACGGACAGACGGACGGACGGACAGACAGACGGACAGACGGACAGACAGACGGACAGGGCCAAATCAACTCAGCTCGTCGCCCTGATCAAGAATATATATACTTTGTGGGGTCTGCCACGCCTCCTTCTGCCTGTTACATACATTTCAACAAAACCATTATACCCTGATTTCCCATTGAAAATGGGTTCAGGGTATAAAAACGGGAGCATTGTTATTATTGTCCATGTTACAAGGATATAGGAAGTTTGGTGATTCCAAAAGTTCGATTACGTCTGCTGGTAGGGGTAGTTTATTTTGCTGGCCCAATCTTTTTGCTAGGTAGATGCTCGACACAAGAGGATCTGAGGAATCCATTGCTCTGTGGAAAACGTCTTCCATGTTTTTTTGCCGAGTACTCTTTCGAGCATGTAGCCTCCTGTCACTCTTATAATATTTGTTGCGAGCCTCTGAGGCGTTCTCGCCAAGAACACCTAATGGAAGGATTGATGCTTCTATTATTTGGTAGCCGTGCATTAACACTTTATGGACTGTTGCCGACATTGGAAACCATGGATACAAGGACATATATAGTGTTACGGTTTTCTGACAATACTTTTTAAATTGTGTTGGATCAATTGGTAGGTGGCAAGAAATAGCAATCAAGATACTGTTAAAATATGCAATAAGATTTTCATCAAGACCTAAAATTTCAGCTAGTAGCTTAGGTTTTGCAAACGCCCTCCTTGCTGTGTTGCCGTCGTTTGTATTTCCATTGCCATTCTGCTTGGGTTTATCCACATGTAGAGCCATAGCATTCCACATCTTCTTCTGAATCGTATTTTTTTGTTTCGCCATTTCTTTTTTTCCATTTTCATCTCTCACTTGCCATTTTTTAAGTTTCAGTCTATATGCAATTTTGAGAACGAATTCAAAAAATCGAATCCAACCATGTAGAGGACTTATGCCATATTTTAATGCTTCATGTCTTGGCTTAAATTTTGGTGAGTCCATTTCAGCATTTTTCATGAAGTCTTTTGGACTCGCTCCACATATCGGACACAATTGGCAAGATTTGGTTTCAGTCAAAATGTTTAAAACCTTTCCATCTAAAAGTGTCATTTGGAGATCATATTTAACTGAAATTGATTTTCCATTTACAACGGTGCAGACGTATGCAGACAAATTATCTATTTGATTATCCAAATTTTTTTTCTCAGCAAGAATATGGTCTTTTGTCTCTTTAACAAACTCAAGCTTGACTGGTCTACAAAATCTAATCGACTGAGGAGTACGATTCATCCAAAATACATTTCCAATATGGTCCATTAATTTAAGGGGGATTATTGTTGTCACAGACGGCAGTGGAGTATGCGCCAGCCAATTGCCTGCCGTGAAGCGGCAGTTACAAATTTTCTCTTAGCATTTACTCTTAACACAATTCAACTTATTACTCAATCTAAGCAACTATTTTGAATTTGAATTGCTGCGTTTATCGCACTTTGCTATCAATGTTACTTGGCCCGATAACATATCGGATGCCGTAGTTGTTTTGTGTTACGTTAAGCTAAATTAGTTTACAGATTTCTGGTATTTTTAGCATTTTTTTAGCGTACTGACTTATCCGACTATGGTCACACGCAGGCGCCATGCGGAAATGGGATACGAATACTCAAAAGACTGCAAAAACATTGAACGACTTAGGAGATAACATACATTTGGTTTACATATATTAATAATTAATAATTAATTGGCTTTTTTCTTTTCTATCTTTTCAGGTGGTCGCTGGAATCCATGAGGGTCCAATTGGGATGAAGCATCGGGCTGGAGATCGTCGTCAAGTGGGGCGTAGGAGAGGAGGGAAGCGCAGCCAGTCCAGCTGCCTGACCCCCTCCCGTCTGCAGCGCCATCCAGTTGTTGCAGTAGTCGTGGGTGAGTACAGCGTATGCATTAGCTTGCATACGCTTACATACACTTGTACATATCAATTGTGTACATTGTGTGTATTGGATGTGAAAGAAATGAAAATATTTCATTAGTGGTGCAAATAAGATGTGTATAAGTGCTATTTTGCTTTTTTTTTTTTTTTTTTTCCTTCTCTCTTTTTTATTTATTTATTTATTTATTTTTTTTTTTTTTTCTTTTTTACAATAATAAAATAGAAATAGTATATGGTTTTTTTTTTTTTTTTTTTTTTTTTTTTTTTTTTTTTTTTTTTTTTTTTTTTTTTTTTTTTTTTTTTTTTTTTTTTTTTTTTTTGTAATTTTTATTTTTTTCTTTTTTTGTATTAATTTGCTGTTTTTATTTGATTTTTGTTTTTCTCTTGTTTCAGGGTCGTTAATTGGAAACCTTCTATGGATGCTTCGCCGTTTTTAAGATAAGTGCATTTTGTGTTGTTTTCCGTTTTGTTATTTGTTGTTTAATTTTGTTAATTTGTGAGTTCTTTTTATTTTTCTCGTTGCAGGTCAGCTTATTATCATCTCCAGGGGCAGATAGAAGCGTCGTTAGTCATCCTCGTCAAGTTTGTTGCCGTTTTTCAGGTGAGTATGTATTTTAAGTTTTTGCTAGTTATGGTTTAGTTATTAATTAGATGAATTTTTGATCTTTCTCTTTGCAGGTAAGCTTATTAACTTCTATAAGGGCAGATAAAAGCATCGCTGTTCATCCTCGTCGAATTTTGGCCGTTTTGCAGGTGAGTGTATATTGTGAACTTTTGCTCAATTCAAAGTAGTTATTAATTAGATGATTCTTTATACTTTTCTCGTTTCAGGTAGGTTTATTAGCGTCTCCAGGGACAGTTAAAAACATCGCTGATCATCTTCGTTGGATTTTTGGCCGCTTTGCAGGTGAGTGTATATTGTGAACTTTTGCTAGTTTTAATTTAGCTACTAATTAGATGATTCTTTGTACTTTTCTCGTTTCAGGTAGGTTTATTAGCGTCTCCAGGGACATTTGAAAGCATTGCTGATCATCTTCGTTGGATTTTTGGCCGCTTTGCAGGTGAGTGTATATTGTGAACTTTTGCTAGTTTTAATTTAGCTACTAATTAGATGATTCTTTGTACTTTTCTCGTTTCAGGTAGGTTTATTAGCTCCAGGGACAGTTAAAAGATTTTTAGCCGTTTGAGGGAGTGTATATTGTGAACTTTGCTCAATTACTACTAATTAGATGATTCTTTGTACTTTTCTCGTTTCAGGTAGGTTTATTAGCGCATCCAGGGACAGTTAAAAGCATTGCTGATCATCTTCGTTGGATTTTTAGCCGTTTTGCAGGTGAGTGTATATTGTGAACTTTTGCTCAATTCAAAATAGTTATTAATTAGATGATTCTTTTTACTTTTCTCGTTTCAGGTAGGTTTATTAGCGTCTCCAGGGACATTTAAAAGCATTGCTGATCATCTTCGTTGGATTTTTGGCCGCTTTGCAGGTGAGTGTATATTGTGAACTTTTGCTCAATTCAAAATAGTTATTAATTAGATGATTCTTTTTACTTTTCTCGTTTCAGGTAGGTTTATTAGCGTCTCCAGGGACAGTTGAAAGCCTCGTTGATCATCTTCGTTGGATTTTTGGCCGCTTTGCAGGTGAGTGTATATTGTGAACTTTTGCTCAATTCAAAATAGTTATTAATTAGATGATTCTTTTTACTTTTCTCGTTTCAGGTAGGTTTATTAGCGTCTCCAGGGACATTTGAAAGCCTCGTTGCTGATCATTTTCGTTGGATTTTTGGCCGCTTAGCAGGTGAGTGTATGTTGTGAACTTTTGCTGGTTTCTATTTAGCTACTAATTAGATGATTCTTTTTACTTTTCTCATTTCAGGTAGGTTTATTAGCATCTCCAGGGACAGTTGAAAGCCTCGTTGATCATTTTCGTTGGATTTTTGGCCGCTTTGCAGGTGAGTGTATATTGTGAACTTTTGCTAGTTTTTATTTAGCTACTAATTAGATGATTCTTTGTACTTTTCTCGTTTCAGGTAGGTTTATTAGCGCATCCAGGGACAGTTAAAAGCATTGCTGATCATCTTCGTTGGATTTTTAGCCGTTTTGCAGGTGAGTGTATATTGTGTAAGGTTGTTTTCTCATTTTAGTATACGGCTACGCTCGTTGGCGTGGTTATGCTGGACGTTGTGGAGCTGGTACGCCAGCTCGGTGACATCATTGCTGGAGCTGCCTCGTACCCAGCGCTGAGATCCATCAGCTCTCTGGGGACGACTTCGTCACGCTCTGGAGTCCTCTGTGGGATTCGCTGGATTGTTTCGCCTGTACTTGTGATTTGTATTTGTTGTTTATTTTTCATTAATAAAGAAGTAACTATCATCATAATTTGCTCCATTTGTTTTTCTAGTCGCTCGAACATGGCCTTGTTTTGATCCAGCAGCTTTTCAAGGCTACTTGACCTGGCCTGCTCATCCTTTAGCTGCTGTTGCAGCCTAGCCAGGTGCCTTGCTGCTGGATTACGTCCATTTGATATGATTGTTGTAGTTGGTAGTTGTTTTGCTTTGTTGTTTATTGAGTATCTCTGTGTGTTAGTGTTAGCGGTGTGGCTGGTGGGCTTTGTAGTTGGCGTTTGGGATTGCTGCTGGTGTTTCTGTCGTCGCGTCTGTCTTTGTCGTAGTTGTTCTTGTTGTTGGTGTTGTGTTGCATTATGCGATCCACGCACCACGCTGCTATATGTCAGCTTGCGCTTTGTGCCTGGATTTAATGGCGTTTTTTTGTTTGTGCTTTGTTGTTGTCGTGATTGATGTTGTTGCTGTTGCTGTTGCAGTTTTGGCTGTCGCGTTAGTGTTAGTTGTTTTTGGTGTTGTTGTTGTTGTCTTGTTGTTTGTCGCACAGGTTGTGGTTGCTGTTGATGCTGATGCCGCTGCTCAGTTTGTTGTTGCTGTTGGTGCTGTTGTTGATGCTGTTGTTGCTTTTGCAGTTTGTTTGCCGGCAAGTGCTTAACAGCTAGCAGCTTATTTCTAGCTTCTTTATATTTTGGGCAGCCTTTATAACAGCTCACATGCTCCCCTCCGCAGTTGTGGCACTTTGCTGGAGCATCTCGTGCTTTGGTGCACTCAGTGGATGGGTGGGGGCCAGCACATTTCATGCAGCGGAAAGGGCGGCGACAATAATTTTTTGTGTGCCCGAATGCCTGACAGCGATGGCATTGGGCTGGATCAATTGGCTTCGCCTGCCGCTCCACTTGCACCATTTGGTTGCTAATCATGTCCAGATCGCATATTTTGAGGTGGCTGCCATCGGGCATTGTCTGTAGCTCCACCTCAAAAACATTGAGTGGCGTGCCGGTGAAGCGATGCTTCATGGTGCGCACGAAGCGCACCACGAAGCCCAACTCCGACAGCTTAGCTCTCAGCCAATCACAGGGTATCGAGTGGTGTAATTTTTTAATTACAACTCGATAGCCTCTCTGATTGCGAGACTGATGTGTGTGCATCTGCACATTCTCAGCAGCCAGGACATCTATGATGGCTTTGTGCGTGGCCATATCGTCACAATGGATAGTGACACCAGCACGCGACGAAATGACAGAGTGACAGAGCCACTGAAAAACAACAAAACTGACTAAAAGAGCGACGAAATGACAGAGTGACAGAACAACTAAACAACAGGATGACTGACTGACAGAGCGACGTAATGACAGAGTGACAGAGCCACTGTACAACAGGACGACTGACTGACAGTGCGACAAAATGACAAAATGACAGAGTCACTGAAAAACAGTACAACTGACTGACAGACCGACGAAATGACAGAGTGACTGAGCAACTGAATCATTTGTCAGTTATATTTCAGTAAAACTAAGCTAGAAAGCAGCTGCAGAGAGTCTTCCCAGTGGTCAACTAAAGCTCAAATGCAACGGGCTCAAAATTTGAGTGCGATCTTGAATTTGAGTCTCAGTCGCCCTATATAAAGGGCAGCAGCTGCAGCATTTCTTCAGTCGTCCAGGCACGGTGGGGATCAGCAGATCATGCAGTCCAGTGTTCTCGTGTTCTCCTCCGGCACACATGAGCGCAATTATATATAGTTTAAGTATTAGCTATTGCACAGAGGCGGACAGAACGGCAAGTCTGCGCACTCGAACAGTCAGCAGTGGAGTATGCGCCAGCCAATTGCCTGCCGTGAAGCGGCAGTTACAAATTCTCTCTTTCAGAATTCTCTTATACTTAATTCAAGTCATTACTTTCACGAAGCAACATATTTGAATTTAAATTACTGCATTTATCGCACTTTGATATCGATGTTGCTTGGCCCGATAACATATCGGATGCCCTAGTTGCTTTGTGTTTTGTGCTGCTTACGTTATGCTAATTTGCCTACAGTTTTCTAGTATTTTTTTTCAGCATTCTTTAGCTTATTGACATATCCGACAATGGTCACACACAGGCGCCATGCAGAAGTGTGATATGTGAAATCAAAAGACTACGAAACAAGACAAAACTGCAAGACTTAACAGCTAACATAAATACAATTTACATAGATTATTTACTAATTCTCTCTCTTTTTTTCTTCTCTTTTCAGGTAATCGCTGGAATCCATGAGGGTCCAATTGGGATGGGGCATCGGGCTGCAGTTCTCATCTGCTGATCGTCGTCAAGTGTAGTGTTGGAGAGGGGGGAATAACAGCCAGTCCAGCTGTCTGACCCCCTCCCGCATGTGGCGCCGACCAGTTGTTGCAGTGGGCATGGGTGAGTACAGCATATGCATTAGCTTGCATACGCATAACTATTCTCACAATTATACATATCAAGAATCAAGTATGTACATTTGTGTGAATTGCAGTGAAGAAGAAATAGAAATATTTCATTAGTGGTGCAATAATAAAATAATATTATTTTGCTTTGTTTTTGTTTGTTTGTTTTTGCAATAATAAAATGAAATTATATATATATATATATATATATTTTTTTTTTTTTTTATATTTCTTTTTTGCTTTATTTATTTTTTTCCTTTTTTTTATGTATATATATTTTTTCCTTTTTTTTCAATATTATTGATTTGCTGTTTTTATTTTTATTTTATTTTTTTTTTCTCATTTTTGATTTTTCTTGTTTCAGGGTCGTTAATTGGTAGTCTTCTGTGGATGCTTGGCCGTTTTGAAGATAAGTGCATTTTGTGTTGTTTTCTGTTTTGTTGTTTGTTGTTTAAATTTGTTAATTTGTGAGTTCTTTTTTTTTTTCTCATTTCAGGTAAGCTTATTAGCATCTCTAGAGGCAGATAGAAGCATAGTAGATCATCCTCGTCGAATTTTTGTCCGTTTTGCAGGTAAGTGTATATTTTAAATTTTTGCTAGTTCTAATATTGTTATTAATTAGATGATTTTTTTTTAATTTTTCTCATTGCAGGAAAGTTTATTAACATCTCTAGGGGCAGATAGGAACGCCATTGGTCATCCTCGTCGAGTTTTTGGCCGTTTTGCAGGTATACTCATTCACGAAAGTGAATCAGTATATTGGTTTTGTGCAATGTCCGTCTTGCTGTCCGTCCGTCTGTCCGTCCGTCCGTCTGTCCGTATGAACGCAATCTATTTCGGCGCTATTGAAGCTAGAGACTTGAAATTTGGAACACAGACTCGTGTATATCTCCGATTCATAAAGTGTTAAAATTTTCCCGATCCGCCCACTAGGGGCGTGGCAAATCGGCATTTTCCGATATACCAGAAATCATGTTTGTTGAAGAGCTAGAAAGCTGAAATTTGGTATGTAGGTCCGCGTTGACCACCCAAGATCACGAGCTATGGCGGATATATCTACGCCCATTGAGGGCGTGGCAAATCGGATAAAACTGTATCTCCTAAAGTTGTAAACCTAGCATGCTGAAATTTTGCACGTCAGCTAATGGTATGATTCTATAAAGTCTGAAGATAAATTATAAGTCTACGCCCATTGGGGGCGTGGCAAATCGGACCTGAAGATATAGTGATTTTTTAAATTCTCCTATATTTTGGACACTATTGATAGCAGAGACCTCAAATTTTGTATATATACTCGGACTGATCACCCAAGACCAAAAAATTTTGTCGGATATATGTCCGCCCACAGGGGGCGTGGCAAACCGCAAAAGTTTATATCTCCTAAAGTATAATAGCTAGAAGCTTCAAATTTGGATAGTTGAGTTACTGGTAGCCTCCTCTATCGATTCCCCAAAAATAATTTTTACGCCTCTTTAGGGGCGTGGCATATCGAAAAATACCCTGTAATTTTCACATTTTTTAAGGGTAAGTATTCAAACTTTGCAGTTAGGGTACCGTTATCTCTTTCTAAAAACTGACCAAAAATGAGGTGTCTACGCCCAGTTGGGGCGTGGCATATCGGAAAAACCTGTATATTCTACAGTATTAGAGCGAAACTTAACTACTAAATTGTTGATGGAATATGAATGAGTATTCCGCAATCGGTAACGCCCGACTGCAACGTTCTTACTTGTTTTTATATTGTTATTAATTAGATGTTTTTTTTTTTTTAATTTTTCTCATTGCAGGTAAGTTTATTAACATCTCTAGGGGCAGATAGGAACGTCATTGGTCATCCTCGTCGAGTTTTTGGCCGTTTTGCAGGTAAGTGTATATTTTAAATTTTTGCTAGTTATACCCTGAACCCATTTTCAATGGGAAATCAGGGTATAATGGTTTTGTTAAAAGTATGTAACAGGCAGAAGGAGGCGTGGCAGACCCCACAAAGTATATATATTCTTGATCAGCGCGACGAGCTAAGTCGATTTGGCCCTGTCCGTCTGTCTGTCCGTCCGTCCGTCCGTCCGTCCGTCCGTATGTATGAACGCGTCGATTTCAGAAGATATAAGAGCTAGAGACTTGAAATTTTTTTTCCTAGGTCCGTGTATATCACGCGCATATCAAGTTTTTCTTTATATATCGATAACTACTCCCGATATTTTATTATCGATCAAAAACCTTATCGAAAGCTAGTTATTTAATTATATCTCCTACACCTTTAGAGCTAGAGCTTGCAAATTTTAAATGTAGACTTATATGTATTTTATATAATTTCGATTTTTGTTGTAATTTACCCCCCACCCTTATATCCACCCCCTCACCCTCACCTTTGTAAAAAGCGTATTTCAAGTACTAGAAACATGTGCTTTGGAATGTACATACATTTTCACCATATAATTACGCCCTGAAACTTACATTAAGATTGTACGTATAGAAATTAAATTATTCAACAAATAAATTCTTATAATGTTACCTACACTACAGCGCAGCCCAAGCGCAGTTAGCAGAGCGCATTCTAATACGTGTGTGTGTATGTATGTGTATCGAAAAGCAGTGCAGACTGATTAGAATATCAGATTAGAGGGTTCAGGGTATCTCCTAGTCGAGCAGTCTCGACTAGAGTCTTCTTACTTGTTTTTATATTGTTATGATGATTTTTTTTTAATTGTTCTCATTGCAGGTAAGCTTATTAACATCTCTAGGCGCAGATAGAAGCGTCGTCAATCATCTTCTTCGAATTTTTGGCGGTTTTGCAGGTAAGTGTATATTTTAAATTTTTGCTATTTTTTATATTGTTATTAATTAGATGATTGTTTTAATTTTTCTCATTAATATCTCTAGGGGCAGATACGAACGTCGTTGGTCATCCTCGTCGAGTTTTTGGCCGTTTTGCAGGTAAGTGTATATATTAAATTTTTGCTAGTTATACCCTGAACCCATTGAAAATGGGAAATCAGGGTATAATGGTTTTGTTAAAAGTATGTAACAGGCAGAAGGAGGCGTGGCAGACCCCACAAAGTATATATATTCTTGATCAGGGCGACTAGCTGAGTCGATTTGGCCCTGTCCGTCTGTCTGTCCGTCCGTCCGTCCGTCCGTCCGTCCGTCCGTCCGTCCGTATGTATGAACGCGTCGATTTCAGAAGATATAAGAGCTAGAGACTTGAAATTTTTTTTCCTAGGTCCGTGTATATCACGCGCATATCAAGTTTTTCTTTTTATATCGATAACTACTCCCGATAATTTATTATCGATCAAAAACCTTATCGAAAGCTAGTTATTTAATTATACCTCCTACACCTTTAGAGCTAGAGCTTCCAAATTTTATATGTAGACTTATATGCATTTTATATAATTTCGATTTTTGTTGTAATTTACCCCCACCCCCTATATCCACCCCCTCACCCTCACCTTTGTAAAAGGCGTATTTCAAGTACTAGAGACTTGTGCTTTGGAATGTACATACATTTGAACATTATGATTATGTTCTGAAAGTTTCATTAAGATTGCACGTCTAGAAATTAAATTATTCAACAAATAAATTCTTATAATGTTGCCCACACTGCAGCGCAGCACAAGCGCAGTTGCTGCTTACTGCGCAGTTAGCAGAGCGCGTTCTAATACGTGGATGTGTATGTACGTGTGCCGAAAAGAAGTGCAGAGTGATTAGAATATCAGATTTGAGGGCTCAGGGTATCTCCTAGTCGAGCAGTCTCGACTAGAGTCTTCTTACTTGTTTTTATATTGTTATTAATT